GATGTTTTATTCCAAGTTATAAAATGAATTTACTTGCAAGAAAAGTGATTGATGATTGTTGAAAATAAGTTACTGTAGATCAATACCTTTACGCTGCATACTTCATAAGTTAGGTACCACCTCTGATTTTTCTATACAAGTACAGAAAGAAATAGCATCTATCTTTCCTTACTAATGACATGATGGGATTCAGGAAGGCTTCCTTATCTCAGATATTTGATTTAACAATATGTTACAGTTGCTTAGATCTTATAATTAAAAATTTATTAGTTTTTCCTTTCTTGAATATTTTTTAAAAGGAAAAATACCAATGTGAGTATCAAATATTTTTACCTCTTTTAATATAATACATGTAGTAGTACAAACAAATTACACTCAGTTCATGGCAGAAACTGTAATGAAGCTTAGGTGAATGAGAAGGGCAAGAATATAAAGTACTTCAAGACTATGGAGGCAATGATGAAGATGAAATGAACTTGGAGGAAATATCAAAGGGAGGGGACATTTCCAACAGGATGGCGGGAGAGTTGTGGCAGATAGAAAGGGACTCTGAAAACCCAAAAGTAAAGAACACCAAGGTAAGAAACTGTCTGGAACAGGATTTCACACATTAAAAACAAAAACAAGTATCTTTGTGTCTCAGTGCTTTGTTTTATAAATTATTTGTTATATTCTTTATAATCTACGTGGTGCCATAGAAAAAAAGTTATGTATAATGTTTTTACTTATTACTATAGCCCTCTGCCATGTGATTCTAATTTGGATTTTAGTGTAATTTTAACATAGTTTTTATGGTTTAATAAAACTTGCACACATTAAAATGCTATTAAACTGTTACACATGGTTAATAATACTTACGGACTTCTGAAAGCAGCCATTATTAAACTGAACAAAGTCATTAATGTCTCTAAACTTTGTACCAGGATATAAACTACAAAAGAGATGTTAACCATATCTACAGAATAGTCATGGCATCTGACTGTATATATATTTTTCTTTTTTACTATATGTATGTTTTTTTGTATTAGTACTCTAACAAAAATTAAAAAAAAAAAAGAAAACAAACCTTACTGTATTCTAGAATTGACTTTCCTACTGATCATGACTGTGAAGCCAACTGACAGTACAAAACTCCTATGCTTTTGTTCCTTCATCTATGTACTAACCAGATTATCAGAGGTAATCTCTATAACCTTCTGCAGTCCGAAAATTCAATGTGTTAGTAAGAACTCACCCTAAAACTCAATGTGCTAGTAAGAAACAACCATTTGAGTTCAGGACTAGAAATATAATCATAATTATTATATTTTCTGAACAAAAGGTTATTTTCATTTATTTTAAATAACAAATAATGAAAAAGATTTTTAAAATTTATCAATTATTGACCATATTTTTATTTTCAACATTCATATTATTAATTTAATATGTTTCAGTGGGCAATATAAATGAACTCACTCGTGAGCTTGAGTTGCTGAGCACATATTGTTAAAAATAAATTTAGGTATTTGAAATGTCCAGTCATGTCTCAAGAAAGGATCTAAGGTATGATTATAAAATTGTCTTTAAAATATGGTTGAATTACTTAAACATTATGTTTCTTGGCACCTAATAGCCCAGTTATTTTTCCTAACTAAAACTAATCCTAGCTTATTTTGCTTAAAATGGTTAACTGATTTATGTCAGTATGCAAAGCAATATTATGGACTTAATTCATTTTATAGACAAATATACAGTAATGAAGAAACTAGCTACATATCACTGGCTTATTCATTTTACCATTTTCAAGGATCATATTCTAAAAGGTCAGACTTCAGTACATCCTTTTTTTTCCTTTTCTCTTTTTTTTCCTATTTAAGGACTACCCATTCCTTTCAAAATTTAGCTACAATCAAGAAGATTAAAAAATGAATACTAGCTACTCTTTCTTTTTTAAGATTTTATTTTTAAGTAATCTTTACATCTAACACAGGGTTTGAATTAACGACCCCAAGATCAAGGGTTGCATCCTCTACCGACTGAGTTAGCCAGGCATCCTAATACCAAGCTATTCTTAAAATGTATCATTGGTCTACTTATAAAGTAATTTAAATGAATCAGATGTCTTCATGATAAAAATCAGAGATCACCAGAGTATAAATCTGACACACCTCAGTCCTAGTGAAGCCCAATACTCAATGTCTGGGGAATAAAATGGAGATATTTAAATGGGTCCACATATGCTTATCAATTTCTCCCTGGATCTAAGTCACCTTACCACATATAGTTAAAGTACTTTCTCAAGTATGCCACTGCATTAATACATGCTTTTACTCCACTGCTTTAACTGGGCAGGGCTATTATTTAAAACAGTCTTGTAGACACAGAAATAATTCAATAAAGAAGAATCTGGTCAATAGAGTTGGAATATAAAGTGGTCATATGAGACATCTGTGTAAACAGCAATAAAGATCAATAAAACAGGCATAAAAATGTTAGTAACTGAGACTCTGAGTGAACTTAAAAAATTCTGTAACAAAAAGTGAGCCAAGTTATTGGCACTTGAAGAAAAATGAATTCTTCAAATAAATTACTTTGTAAACAGAAAATAACATGGTTTGCTAAGTGGGCATTAAATTTACAATGGGAAAAAATCCCAGCTACTTAAAAAGTCCATATGCATTGAAAAGTAAGAGAAAATACATAATATTCTCCCAAAGAAAAATTTTATAAACCAGATAAAAAAGGGTGAGAAGTAAGTAGGATTTGTATAGTTTTTTTTTTTTTTTTAATCAGTATAGCTTTTATTTCATCTTTAAAATATCACAAATAAATCTGAAATATCATCCGGTTTCAGGATTCATACAATTTAAAAAAATATATATTTTATTTATTTATTTTAGAGAGACAGAGAGAGAGAGAGAGACAGCACAAGCGAAAGGGACAAAGGCAGAGGGAGAGAGAATCTTAAGCAGACTCCTTGTTGAGTGTGGAGCCTGACAAAGGCTCTTTCCCAAATCCCTGAAATCATGACCTGAGCAGAAACCAAGAGTTGAATGCTTATCAGACTGCACCATGCAGGTGCCCCGGGTTTCAATACAATTTTTTTAAAGAAAGAAAAATGATTATTTTATTACAGTTTAAATAAATATATCAGAGGTTAAGCCTTAACCCACAAATATATGATTTCACTTGCAAAACATTCCATCCCATGAGTTTTCTTCTGTTAATAAATATCTTGAGAATAATGCTAACCTGGCACCAACACCAATGACTACTCACAGTCGCTGTACAAGTCCCTCAGAAACTGAAACTCCTAAGGCATTTAAATTTACCATTCCCAGACTTTCAGGAGCTTTCAGGCATATTGAATCAACAGTGAAATTTTTGAAAACAAGACAACTCTTATTTAAATGAAGTCTGAATAACTTTGTAACTATAATGGTTGCCTATACTTGTTCCCGGGAGATAAGCCAGGAAAAGAACAAGCCTCTTTAGTCTAAATTCCTTTGACTTCATGCTTTCAGAAAGGTCAGCCTAGCTAGCCCATGATTAACATCCCCTAAAAGGAAGATTTATAGAGTAGCTTTTATAGTGCTTGAATTAACAAGGTTGTAAAAACACATATTTTAGTTTTAGGTTCACTTATTTTTATTTTTTTTTTATTGAACTGAATGAGTTTCCATAAATGGAACCTTGATTTATAACATCATATTCATTGGAAATAAATGTTCAACTTACCATTGTTGACTTATCCAGGCACTGATTAGGTTATAACCCAGAGGGTCCTTGCAGTGGTCAAGCAGTCATATTTATGATATTTTATGTAATTACAGTTGATACTAGAAACATATTTACTTTCTATATTTTATCAAACCGCCAGAGTAAAACAAGCAAAATTCAAGCTTAAAAATACAAAATACAGCAGAGACAATACAACACATGCACACACTACAAATAAAAATGGCATGTTAAGCAATATGTAATAGAGAATAACTGTCATAATAATAAGTTAACACTGCATATGCTAAATGAAGCAATAATAATGTTGAGATTATGTGGAATTATCATCTATGTGTGCATTACCAGAGATATGCCTAAATAATGTGATAAAGGGATCAAAATAAACAAGAGGATAAAAACACTCTGTAGGTGTTGAACAAAGAAAATATGGTGGTGGCAATATTAAATGTAATGCAGAATATATTAATAATTTAAAAAGGAAATAATTGATAAAATATAGAAATAATAGAAACACTCTACCACTAAATAATTATGTACCAAAATACATATAGTATTTCAACCTTTCAATAATTTAAGATATTTAGAAGAAAAACAGTTGTTCACAGATTTTAACTCGATATTAGGCTCTCAAAAATCAGACTGAAATAGTAGAGGTAAACTATTTTTTTAAATATGTTGCTTTAATTAATATTTTACAAATTGAACAGGTAATGGCTATGTTTTCAAATGACCAACCAATTATATATTATATAAAGAACAAAGGTAATGAAAATTCATCTCCTAAGAATTTTTAAAAGATACTTAAATAGTAGTTGGTTCAAAAATACAGTGACACATAAATTTATTTTTGTAAATCTTAGTAAATGAAAAATTTTCAGTTCTTAACATCTTAGAATTATAAGGACAGCAGGAAGACTAATGAATCTCTATAAGAAGTATATTATAAATATGAATGATCTATGTATCATTCATGTGTTGTAATATTTAAGAAAAGGAATAGGAATCCAATTTTGGGACAGATAGGTGATATGAAGCAATTATAAAATGAGAGATGATTAAATTTGGAAATCCAACATGGGATTTATATGAATATATGGCATTTGGAAAAAACATAAAAATAATGCTTTCTTAGAATTGTTGGGTTAAAATTTGTGATTTTTCTTTAAGATGAAAACTTATTTAAAAACTTGGTATCTACTTTTCAGACTGCATCACTACTCAGATGTTTATATGCTTTCCTAAATATATATTTGATTAATCATGGGTAAATAAATACTGACCTGCAGTAAAACCTGTGTCCAGATCCATCAACGCAAATCCATCCATTAAGCCAGAGGACCAAATTCAGTTCAGGCTCAGCATGACTGTCAATATTTATTTCACAATATGCACCAGTGTATCCACCTGGGCAAATCCAAGTAAAGTCACGGACTGATTTCTCACAGGAGTCTTCTTTTATGCAAGGAATTGATGTACAGTTCTAAATTAAGAAAGAGAGAACCAAATTTGATTACTAGTGGTATGACTAACAATTTTATTAAAATTATACTTTATTTAAAATTTTATGAGAAATCAATATGCAAGTTTATTTTATATTCCCTTCCCCTAGTAACTGAAATGTTTCTAGTAATAAATGATTTTTATTTCTTATCACCAGAAATACTCTGTCAAGTATCTTATGTTAATTTTTCAGAAAAAAAAACTTTTTTAAAAAACTTTTTTAAACTTTACTAAAACATGTATGATGGCAGTGAACACCTACCCCCCTAAACACCCTAATAATGGTGCTAATGCAAATCCTATGTGTAGAATATCAGGAATTCACTGACCCTTAAGTATACATATAATATTCCACTGTATGTATATATGCCACATTTTCTTCCTTTCTTTTTTTTTATGTTATGTTAGTCACCATATAGTATGTCATTAGTTTTTGATGTAGTGTTCCAAGATTCATTGTTTACATATAACACCCAGGGCTCCCATGCAATACATGCCCTCCTTAATGCCCATCATCAAGCTAACACTTCCCCCTGCCCCCTCCACTCTAAAACCCTCAGTTTGTTTCTTGGAGTCCACAGTTTCTCATGGTTTGTCTCCCCCACTGATTTCTCTCCCTTCATTTTCCCCTTCTTCTAACGCCCTCCATGCTATTCCTTATGTTCCACAAGTAAATGAAACCCTATGATAATAGACTTTCTATACTTGACATATTTCACTCAGCATAATCTCCTCCAGTCCCATTCATGTTGATGCAAAAGTTGGGTATTCATCATTTCTGATGGCTGAGTGATATTTCATTATATGTATGTAGACCACATCTTCTTTATCCATTTATCTGTTGAAGGGCATCTTGGCTCTTTCCACAGTTTGGCTATTGTGGCCATTGCTGCTATGAACATTGGGGTACAGATGGCCCTTTTTTTCACAACATCTATATCTTTGGGGTAAATACCCAGTAGTGTAATTGCAGGGCCATAGGATAGCTCTATTTTTAATTTCTTATGGAATCTCCATACTGTTTTCCAAAGTGGCTGCACCAACTTGCATTCCCACCAATAGTGTAAGAGGGTTCCCCTTTCGCCACATCCTCTTCAACATTTGTTGCTCCTTGCCATGTTAATTTTGGCCATTCTACTTGGTGTAAGGTTGTATCTCAGGGTGGTTTTGATTTGAATCTCCCTGATGACTAATGATGATGAGCATTTTTTTCAGGTGTCTGTTAGCCATTTGTATGTCTTCTTTGGAGAAGAAGTCTGTTCATGTCTTCTGCCCATTATTTTGACATGATTACCTGTTTTGTGTGTGTTGAGTTTGAGGAGTTCTTCATAGATCTTGAATATCAGCCCTTTGTCTGTAGTGTCATTTGAGAATATCTTCTCTCATTCCATGGGCTGCCTTTTTGTTTTGTTGACTGTTTCCTTTGCTGTGCAGAAGCTTTAGATCCTGACAAAGTCCCAAAAGTTCATTTTCATTTTTTTGTTTCCCTTGCCTTTAGAGATGTGTCTTGAAGTTGCCAGGGCCAATGTTGAAGAGGTTACTGACTATATTCTCCTCTAGGATTCTGATGGATTCCTGTCTCACACTGAGGTCTTTTGTCCATTTAGGGTTTATCTTTGTGTATGGTGTAAGAGAATGGTTGAGTTTCATTTTTCTGTACACAGCTGTCCAATTTTCTGAACACCATTTATTGAAGAGACTCTCTTTTCCACTGTATATTTTTTCCTTTGTTGAAGATTCTTTGGCAATAGAGTTGGGGGTCCATATATGGGTTCTCTACTATATTCCTTTGGTCTATGTCGGTTGTTGTGCCAGTTTCATGCTGTCTTGGTGATCACAGCTTTGTAATAAAGCTTGCAATCAGGCAACATGATGCCTCCAGCTTTGTTTTTCTTTTTCAACATTTCCTTGGCGATTTGGGGTCTCTTCTGGTTCCATACAAATTTTAGGATTTTTGTTGCAGGACTTTGGAAAATGCTGATGGTATTTTGATCGGCATAGCATTGAAAGTATAGATTGCCCTGGGAAGCAAAGACATTTTGACAATGTTTATTCTTCTGATCCATGAGCATGGAATGTTTTTCTATCTTTTTGTGTCTTCTTCAATTTCTTTGATGAGTGTTCTGTAGTTCCTGGAGTATAGATCTTTTACCGCTTTAGTTAGGTTTATTCCAAGGTATTTTATGGTTTTTGGTGCCATTGTAAATGGAATTCATTCTCTAATTTCCCTTTCTATAGTTTCATTGTTAGTGTATAAGAAAGCAACTGGTTTCTCTGCATTAATTTTGTATCCTGCCACATTACTAAACTGCTGTCTGAGTTCTAGTAATTTTGGGGTGGAGCATTTGGGTTTTCCACACAAAGTATCCTGTCATCTGTGAAGAGAAAGAGTTTGACTTCTTCTTTGCCAACTTGAATACCTTTTATTTTTTTATTTATTTTTGTTGTTGTTGTCTGATTGTTGTTGCTAGGACTTCTAGTACTATGATGAACAATAGTGGCAAGCGTGGGCATCCTTGTCATGTTCCTGATCTTAAAGAAAAGTCTCTCAGCTTTTCCCCATTGAGAATGATATTTGCTGTGGGTTTTTCAGAGATGGATTTTATGAAATTGAGGAATGGTCTCTCTATCCTTATACTCTGAAGAGTTTCAATCAGGAAAGGATACTATATTTTGTCAGATGCTTTTTCTGCATCAATTGAAAGGACCATGTGGTTCTCCTCTCTTCTATTATTAATTTGTTCTGTCACACTGATTGATATGTGAATGTTTAATCACCCTTGCATCCCAGGGATAAATCCCACCTGGTTATGGTGGATAATCTTTTTAATGTACTGTTGGATCTTATTAGCTAGGATCTTGTTGAGAATCTTGGCATCCACATTTGTCAGGGATATTGGTCTGAAATTCTCCTTTTTGATGGGGTCTTTGGATGGTTTGAGGATCAAGGTAATGCTGGCCTCATAGAAAGAGTGTGGAAGTTTTCCTTCTGTTTCTATTTTTTGAAATAGCATCAGGAGAATAGGTATTATTTCTTCTTTGAATGTTTGGGAGAATTCCCCAAGGAATCCATCAGGTCCTGGACTCTTGTTTTTTGGGAGATTTTTTATTACTGCTTCAATCTCATTACTAGTTATTGGTCTATTCAGGTGGTCAATTTCTTCCTGTTTCAGTCTTGGAAGTTCATAGGTTTCCAGGAATGCATCCTTTTCTTCTAGGTTGCTTAACTTATTGGCATATAGCTGTGGAAAATAATCTCTGATGATTGTTTCTATTTCCTTGGTGTTAGCTGTGATCTCTCCCCTTTCATTCATAATTTTATTACTTTGGGTCCTTTCTCTTTTCTTTCGGATTAGTCTGGTCAGTGGTTTATCTATCTTATTAATTCTTTCAAAGAACAAGATTCCAGATTCATTGATGTGTTCTATTGTATCTCTGCTTTCTAATTCATTGATCTCTGCTCTAATCTTAATCATTTCCCTTCTCATGCATGGGGCAGGCTTAATGTGTTGTTGATTCTCCAGTTCTTTAAGGTGTAAAGAGAGTTTGTTTATTTTGTTCTTTTGTTTTTTGTTTTGTTTTGTTTTGTTTTGTTTTGTTTTTGAGTAGTAAGGCTTGAATGGCTATATATTCCCCCTTAGGACTGCCTTTGCCATATCCCATAGGTTTTGAACCAATGGGTCTTCATTCTTATTGGTTTCCATGAATTGTTTAAGTTCTTTGATTTCCTGAGTGACCCAAACTTTGTTGAGAAAGATGGTCTTTACTTCCAAGTGTTTGAATTTCTTCCAATATTTTCTTGTGATTGAATTCCCATTTCAAAGCATGTGGTCTGAGAATATGCAGGGAATAATGTCAATCTTTTGGTATCAGTTTAGACTTGACTTGTGACTGAGTATGTGGTCTATTCTGGAGAAAGTTCCATGTGTGCTCAAGAAGAATGATTGTTCTGTTTTTTGTTTTTGTTTGTTTGTTTGTTTGTTTTAAGGTGGAATGTTCTGTGTATATCTATGAGGTCCATCTAGTCCAGTGTGCCATTCAAGGCTCTTGTTTCTTCATTGATAGTCTGCTTAGTTGACCTGTCTGTTGCTGAGAGTGTAGTGTTAAGATCCCCTACAATGAACATATTATTATCAATATGTCTCCTTATTTTGGTTAATAGTTGGCTTATGTAGTTGGCTGTTCTCACGTTGGGGGCATATATATTTACAATTGTTAGATCTTCTTATTGGATAGACCCTTTAAGAATGTTATAGTGTCTTTCTGTATCTTTAACTACAGTCTTTAGCTTAAAATCTAAATTGTCTGATATGAGAATTGCTACCCCAGCTTTCTTTTGTGGTCAGTTGGCTTGAAAGATGGTTCTCCATCCCTTCACTTTCAGTCTGGATGTATCTTTAGGTTCAAAATGTGACTCTTGTAGATGCATATGGATGGGTCCTGTCTTTTTATCCAATCTGCAACCCTGTGCCATTTTATAGGAGCATTTAGGTTGTTCACGTTGAGAGTGATTATTGACAGATAAAAGATTTTATTGTCATCATGATGCCTGTGAAGTCCTTGTTTCTATGGATTGTCTCTGTATATCTTTGTTTTTTATCACTCTTGGGGTATTTCTCCTTTTATAGAAACACACCCCCCCCCCCGCCACCACTAATATTTCTTGCAAAGCCAGCTTAATGGTCACATATTCTTTCAGTTTCTGCTGGTCCTGGAAGCTTCTTATCTCTCCATCTATTCTGAATGGCAGCCTTGCCAGATAAAGAATTCTTGGCTCCATATTCTTCTTCTTAGTGCTCTGAATATGTCTTGTCAGCCGAATCTGGCTTTTCAGGTCTCTGTGGACAGGTCTGATGTTATTCTGATATCCTTCCCTCTGTACATAAGGAATCTCTTCCCCCTACTTGCCCTTAAAGTGCTTTTCTTGGTTCTATGATTCACGAGTTTCACTACCACATGCCGGGGGTTTGATCTACCCTC